TAGAGGCCATTTCTTATATATCTTTCCAAATACTTTAGGTAAGGTTTTATGGGTAACAAACATACAAGAAGCCTTTACTGCATACAAGTTAGTAGAGATTAAAAGGCCAATGTGAAATTTGTGGCAGAGTGAATGATATTTAATTTTATTGCTTTTTAGATGTTGAAAGCCATATATTAACAATACTAAGAGTTAACTGTTGTTTGGATCTCCTTAGAAATATGCTTTTGCAAGAAAATCTCAAAAGCAAACAAATGAAAGATAATTAAGTTTAGAGGAGTGATGAAATGCCCATTATTAGCAGTAATTTGCTTCATTAGCTCTTCTATGCTCATTGCCTTCATTTATACATTAAGAATATTTATACACTAAGAATATAGTGCTGTATATGCACTCATGAGAAAATTAGCATTTCTCAAAATTGCTCCAGAAAAGCTTATTTCCAGGTACACCTAGACCTCACACTGATTTTGAAATGCTATACTTCCCTTGACTTCCTAAAGTTTAGGTTGAGACAAAGGAGAACATATAGTCTGTACCTCAATTTCATATTCCATATATTTATAACTTAGCAGGATTTGTGATTTTTTTATGAGTTCTAGAGACTCAAATCTAATAGCTATTACTAGATGATTAGTGGTTATCTAATCAGATCTGTCTTCATGTTGATAACATTACTTTAGGCACAGATAACAAGCATAATTTATTAACTCATACATGGTTTTAATAATTAAGCCATTCAATTATTTTAGGTGGTAAATATTTCTTTAGAAAAAATGGATTAGTTAATATCACCTTTTACTTGTAAACATAATATATGTGGCATGGGGAAAAAATCAACCAAACAATTCCAATTTTGAATATCCGGTTACTTATTTAATGTATTCCTGCATTCTTAAACATCAGTTTGTTATCTTTCTTCTACCTCTTTAGCTGTCTTGGGTTATTTTCATTGAGTCTTGCTGTGCCCATCTGGTTTAGTTTATGCTAAACTGCTATTTGGAAAACAGATAATAAATACCTCAGGAGCACCTTTTCCCTCTGCATCTCAGTACTAAATGCCCTGCTGTGAATCTTAAGGTTGCCCAGCATAAGTCATTGGCCCAGGTGTCTGGATCCAGGTTCCTGCAATCTGTTTACAGCATTGCCAAGTATTGGCTCTCTCAGCTGTGCCAGTCTCAAAATTATTGTACAAGATGTGAGAGCTTGTTAAAAATGCTTAAGTCTTCACCCTACTCCGGACATTCTCAGTCAGAACCTTGGGTTGTAATGGTGGAATATTCTAATGCAAGTGGACCTTAGGCCACTTTTTGAGAAACCATATGAGCTTAGAAGTAGCCCTAAACCATCCCACTTATTTATAAGTTCCTCACTTAAATCCTTTCCCTTCCCTAGAGAGTGAATATAGATTGGAAAGTCCCTTATATCTTTTACATATTATCTCTATTAGATCTCTAATTAGAGAACATCCCTTTCTTGTTAATTCAGTGTCTCAAGACAGAAAAACTGTCTTGACAAAGCAGTTTGCAGTTTGGAGGTTAAGGTGGAGGTCAGTGTTGGGGAGGACAGGATGGCAATTATCAAACAAACTGTAGTGGCAAGAATAGGTTGCTTAGGAAGCGATCCCTCGAATGAATATAACCTTGTAGTCAGCCAAGGATTTCATACATATTCTAAGAGTTAAAGAGCTGATATTCTTTTTTAGTGTTAATGAATTTTAAATTGATTTATGTTTGAATGACAGTCCCTACAAAAAGGAATAAAGATTCCTTAATATTTCTATATCTAATGCTCCGCTAAATAAAACAAACTCATGTTCTGGAGCCATCGTTAGTGGTAATTAACTAGACATAATCACTCATATTTTTAGCAAATTTATTCTATTGTGGTGAGTATTGGGAAAAATGTAATATCATTTAAAGAGAAGCAGGTGCAATTTCCACCAACAAACCTGGAAACCCAATGAATGCTTGAAAAGTTGAAAGAGATTTTTTCTTTCTTCCTCAACTCAATAGATATAAGTTTAAAGTGAACTCCTGAAGTGCTGGAACAATATAAAATAATAAAAGGGAGTCACTGCACTACTTACGATGCCCATTCTGTAACTGGTTTCTTCTCTTCTCTTCTGACTTCATTTTGGCCTTTATGTACCATTGACACCTTTTGAAAAGGTAAAAAGAAACTTGTTTTAAGAATTATGCTGGATAAGAACCTAAATCGATTAAAATAAATATCATCCATGAACAAAGTTCTTGTCATAAACATTACTTTTAAGAATATCTTTATAACATGTGAAAATACACCATAGAAGGCTATACCTCAAAATTAGCCCCAGATAAGAGTAAAATACTGTCAAGTAGATTGACCCAAAAGATAGGAATTTTATAAAATATTTTACAATCAGCTATACCTACCACTTCCTTTCTTATATGATTTATAATAGCTAGAGTTGGTAAAAAGCATTGAAAGTCAAATGAAAAAGTTTGAGGCAGAATCTCAGAAATTTAGACGTTTTCCATTTTCAGTGCTAAACAGCATGATGGTTTAGCACTTTTCTTTTTTAATATTTAAATTTTATAGAGGCATATTCTGTTCCTTCTCTGGACAACCTTGCCCCCATGAGTTCTTCAACATAAATAAATTCATCATTATATGATTTGATGGTTCATCAAATTTCTAATTCCCTATAGTTAAACAAAATACACTTGTGGTACATAATCTAACCTTTCAACGTGAATTTGGTGTCACATTTCATGGCAAGTTGAGTATTTACTCAGAAATATCTTACAGTTTCCCTACCAAAGTGTTTAAGAGATAATTCAAAAATTTTTTATCTCATGTAATTGAAATTGTTCTCTCCAGTGCACAGAATGTTAAAACAGTTTCTGATGTCATGTAAATTGCTGAAATAGAAATTGAAAGTTGAAAATAGTTTAGTACAGTTTTTTTTTTATCATTAAATTCTCTTTTTAAGTGGTATTTTCTGCTCTGCTCTTTCTATTATCCCAAATAAAGATATTTGGGCTCATCTCTCAAGTTTATTAGGCCAAACTTAGCTTAGACTACAGAGATTGAAATGTTTCCTTTTGAGTTTTTCATATTTACATGTTAAGACAACATTTTCTGATATCTTAATAAAATGCATTTCCACATGTGTATATGTTATTTGAATCACTGTTTACTTAAATACTCTGTGAGAAAATAAGGGCTTTTCCTGTGTTCTATAAGATACATATAAGTGTAACTTTGTCCAATTTTGCGATATATTGAGTCACTATTAAATAAAATATCATTTAAAATCAACTTCCATTATGAGCAGAGTTTTTTTTTTTTTGAAAATTGGGGATACATATGACACTGCTGTTAAATAAAATCACACTTAAAAGAGCATCCCAAACTTCTTCAAAGGAACTTTCAAAATGAAAAACAAAAAACTTTCCAAATCAAAATTAACCATCATATCTAAATTATAACAGTCTAGTTAACATGATATAATTTGTATCTTTGGAGTTAAGATCTCCTTATAGGACCCCATTGTATTTATCAATTGAATAATCTTCCTGGGCTCCAAAGCCCATTGTCTTTAAATTGTGTGCAACTCCATGATAACTAGAGTATTGTCAAGATGTAAGAGCCCCCAAATTCACAATGCACCGGCAGCATTTATGTTACAGAGATCAATTAGTAGACAGTAAGGTTTATTCTTTTACTCATTTTCCTAATAATGTTTGCTAATCATATAGCAATGCACAGAGTATTGGCAATTTGATTTTTTTTCAGCTAACCAAATTGTCATTGTGACTTTACAAGCAACAAAATGCTTTTATTTTTTTCTTTCTTTTTCAGACTTAACACCATTAACCCTCACTAAAAGTTTTCTTCGCTCTCTTTCTACATGTATTGTTGTTTATTGCTTTCTTTATTTTTCTCCCCTCCCCTCCCCTCTTCTCCCCTCCCCTTCCCTGACCTTTTTTCTCCTCTCCTCTTCCCTCCCCTCCCCCTCCCCATCCCTCCCTTCCTTCCTTCTTTCCCCCATCTAATCCCTCTCCTTGCAAAGGAGTCATAGATAGGATTAGAATTTTGCCCTTTTTTCAGCAAGCAAATTTAGAACCACCAGGATGTCAGGTTTTTGTTTGTCTGTTTTTATTAATATAACCAGTTGATCCTTGCTAGTGATTAAGGTTTCTGTAGGTCATGTTTGATATTTGTAGACTATAGTCTTGAACATTTTGTTTTCAGCCTAATGGTTAATTGGTTTAGAGACCTCAATTTTGTTTTCTATCCACTATAGAAGATGGGTTGTATCAAAGCTGTGATGATGGAAAGAGCAGTTGGAGGCTAGCTCTAGGAGTAAAGGGAAAAAGTCATAGAAGAATGCCAGGCAGCAGTTTCTGGCGGTGGCAACATGGTGTTTCCAAAGTAGTACTTTTATTAGGATGGAGTTATTATTTCCTGCATTCTTTCAGGTCTGTTCTTTGTTTTCTTAGCATGGTAGCTAGCATTACTCTCTCAGCTAATCAACCTTCCGAAATAAGAGACCCTGAGACACCTTTTATTAATTTGAAGAGCATTACTATGCCTGTTAATATACATGAAAATTTTAAAGGGTAATTTAATTTAGGGGTAAAGTGACCCCTTTACATTTAATTTCATAAAGAAGTCACCATGTTAACTCAACAATGTTAGAATATTCACATTTGTTTCTTGATAAGTTCTGTAAAAGTAGGTTTGTTATAACTAAATCTGATACACTCTTAACAGACAGCCAGTTGCACTTTTTCAGGGACCCACACTTAATATGTGCTACCAACTTGTCAATTTATTAATTCGTAACTTTTAGTCTGATGTCAAAATTGTATAATTTTTCATGTATGCATATCCCCTATAATTTTAAAATGAATTTTAATAAAATATTGGTCCCTAAGCAGAGTTTTAAAACAAATTGAAAAAAGGGTGTTTATAGTTCACCCAACTACTGTCCCTGAAGTTAGCTATTAATTATTTCTGCTTTTTATCAGATATCAGAGTTTTCTGTTCCTGGTAGGTTGACTTTAGCTGTAGTCAACATAAATATGCATTGTTTGGTTGGAATTCTTATTGCAGGTTTAAATCATAGCACCAGTATTTTGCATTATACATTTGTTTTATGTTATCAAGAAAACTCTTGAGGTATTCTTTTGTGCCACTATTGATATCTAGAAGGAATATTTTTTCTCCTTGTAGGAATGATCTGAGGATATTTGTGATAACTAACAAAAGTCTTGGCCAAAGATCAAGGATTAATTAAGAAATAATACTAATTCTTTTGAATAATTTCATACACTTTGTCTCTATTTGTATCTCTGTATTGTCAGTACCTGGCTTACAGTAATCATCCAAAATATTAAAAATCAATAAATGGTTTTAATATATGGTCATACTAAACCTGTGTATAAAAATAGAAAGCTAAGGTGGCAACGTGGTTAGACCAGCTAGTCAGGATTCAAATCTAGGTCTTTGGCTGTGTTAAATTGATCATTC